TTCCTCAGTTGGTTAATATTGGAAATTTGAATTTCAGGAATCTATGTAGAAGCATGGAACCAGAAGCGACTGACAACGGGAGTTACACTGTTAATGACATACATCCCTGCTACGAATCAGATAATACAACTTACTTATTCACAAGCAACCCTTCCATAATATGTGTTTTATTATATGTTTTCCTCGGCGCATTGTCTGTTGTCACAATATGTGGAAACCTTTTCGTAATAATCTCCGTCTCTTACTTCAAACAGCTCCACATCCCTACAAACTACCTCATTCTGTCTCTGGCTGTGGCCGATCTGCTTGTAGGAGTTCTAGTCTTTCCTTACAGCATGACATTCACTGTAACCTCATGTTGGTATCACGAGGGTTTGTTTTGTAAAGTACGAGGAAGCTTTGATGTTACACTGAGCACAGCTTCTATTTTGCACTTATGCTGTATTTCTATTGACAGATACTACGCAGTGTGTCAGCCTCTTGCTTATAAAAGTAAAGTAAATGATCGTGTCATTGGGATTATGATCCTGATGAGCTGGGCAGTTGCTGCTGTAATTGGCATCAGCATTATATTTGCAGGTTTTAATCAAGGAAAATGTGAAGAAAGTTGCTTAATTGATGCTCTAATATCGACCACTCTGGCATATATTTTTTCATTTTATATCCCGGTCAGTATAATGCTTAGTATCTACCTGAAAATTTTCCTTGTTGCAAAGAGACAGGCAATCAGCATTCAGAACACAACCGGTCTGAGCACAAAGTCTGGAGCAACCGTCAGTAAGATGGAGAGAAAGGCCACCAAAACTCTGGCTATTGTTTTGGGAGTTTTTCTCTTATGTTGGACTCCGTACTTTCTTTGTATCATCTTTCAGCCTTTAACGTACAATGTTACACCAATTGCTGTGATTGAAACACTGAACTGGCTTACACTGTCAAATTCAATGCTTAATCCATTTATTTACGCTTTCTTTTACAGCTGGTTCAGAACAGCTTTCAGAATGATCATTTCTGGAAAACTATTTCAAGGTGATTTTGCAAACTCTAAACTCTTTTGACTCGTCTTTTGTTTAAATAACATCTTAGTAATGGTATTTAAAAAACATATTTTACAAACATAATACAACCTTCACTGAGACAAATGTTCTGTATCAACACAGGTATTTTGTATTTAAAATGAATAATTTAATGCGATTAAAATAAGTAAATAACACAATGACACATGCAGATAACAGATTTGATAGGAATTTGATTGTAAAGCAGTTTACAAAAGCAATTTCTTTCACCAGCCTAAAGTACTTCGGCAGGTAATTTAATTCCATGGCTGTCTTTTCATCTATCATTTTCAAACTAAACATGTTTTTACAGGAAGTCCTTGCCTCAAAGTGACCACTTACAAATAGTCTGACAGGGAATCAGGTGACAAATGTCATTATTATATCTGTAGAATAGTTTTTAAAGCCAATATGCTTGACTTTGTACAGGCCAACAGAAAAATGCTTCCACACAGGTGCCAGGCCATTGTTCCATGTTGCGGCCCATTACCCCAAAACATCAGAAGTTTGGCTTACACTGATATTCTTACCGTATATCTAACCAACCCAACCAACGAAGGCAACGAGTAATAAGAGGCAGAGTGGTGGGGTTGCCTTTGCCAGTTAGAAAAGAAATCAGTTAGTTCCAATGATGTCATTCTGGCTAATAATTAGACATTTGCTTCTGTTTGTTGCATGGAAAACTCCGGCCTTCGAATGGATGTTTGTTTTCGGGATAACGGGCTGTCGGACAAATTGGCTTTCGGTCTGATGCAACGTTTTTTGGACTAATGTTGTTTCATAGCAATGGGCCGTCTGAACAATGTGCAGTCCCCTCTTATATGTTATGCGGAGTTATATATTTTCCTTGACTCATTAACTGTTGACACAATATGTAGAAACCTTCCTGTGATAATCATTTACTTCAAACTGCTTTACGCTCCCACGAACTCTGTGGCTGACCTGCTTGTGGCATCTTTGATAAGCACATCTTCCATTCTGAACTTGTGCTGTATTTTTATTGACAGATATTATGGAGTGTAACATCGTCTGATGATTTGCACTGACTATTGATGTTATTAGGAAAAAAATAAAGATTAACATCTTGGATCTACTCTGTCTTGCTTATTAAAGTATTCATGGTGCAAGGGAACTGTCACTGTTTGGTGCTCTGTGTAGTTAGTCTATGTACACAGAGTCTGCACCACACAGGTGTC